CACCTTGTTGAATCAATGCTACGTAGAATTAAGGCAGTTCTGAAGGCGAAAGGGGGTCAAACACCGTATTAGTATGGTGTTCCTAATAATCATTTAGGTGAGTGTATATGCAAGTCCTTCAATGGTGTGTATGTAGGGAAAAATGTATCTGTAATCATCCATCCAAGCATTCATCCCTCTTCATTAACTCTCTGTCTAGTCATGATGAACCTGGAGCATTTCCCAGGAAGCACCAAGTAGAAGACAGGACACACCCTTGACCAGGGGTGCCCAATCCTCCTCCTGGAGAGCTACCACCCTGCAGAGCTTAGGTGCAGCCTGGAAAATGGTCCCCATAAGGGTATTCATCATGTTCTGGGGACATTGTGTCCCCATAAGGTAAGGCATACCCACTCACACACACACACACACACTGTCACGTTCAGCCCTGAATGCTCCTTGTGTGTGCCACGCCCCCTCATTACTTCCTGTCAAACCCTGATTGTTCTCACCTGTTGCCTGTTACGTTTGCCTAGTCTTGTGTATTTAGTCCTAGTCTGAGTCAGTCTCCCTAGATTTGTCATTGTGATGTAATGTTGCGTTTGATGTTCAGCCTCCGTTTCCCTGCCTGTTCGTTTAATAAACCCCCGTTTGTCCTGATCCACGGCTCCGCTTGCCTGCTTGACCGCCAGCTCGCTAGCCCGAACGTGACAGAATGACAAATCTCCAAGAAAGCACAAAGCGGCAGACCGAGCACCAACGGCTCGGTCTGCTGCAAGAGTTTGTGTTCTGGCGGTCCCAGCCCGAGGTCCGGGAGGACTCCGTAGCCCTGGCTCTGGCTAACCGGGGCGCGGATCTCCTTGAGGAAGAGCGCCCGCCCGGACAGGACTATCCCCTCCGAAGGGCACGCAAATGCCTTCACCGCCTGAGTCAGCGCCTGACGAACAGTCGGGAGAAGCGGAGCAGAGAACAAACGGAAGAAGCCCCAATGCTCTTCCTGGGAGCTTGCTCTCTGCTCCCCGCCAGGGAGGCTTGTGCTTACCGGCCAGAACGCTTACCCGGAAGAGGGATCAGCGCCGTGAGAGACGCAATTCCCCGGGTCCCTAAAGCTCTTAAAGGGGTAGTCCCAGGCGCACCGGATCCGGACCCGCAGACTCCGGACCTGCAAACAGCGCCTGCTTCTGCTGCTGTCGCCGCTCTGCCCGCGGCACCGCCTGCAGCTGCTGCCACTTTGCCAGCGGCAACGCCTGTCCTGCCTGACCCGCCTGCTCTGCCGGTGGTCCCTGCGACACCGCCCGAGGTGCCCACGGCTGCGCCCCCTGCTGGCCGAGTGACGGCGGTGCCCGCCGAGGCGCCTCCTGCTGGCCGCATGACGGCAGCGCCCGGCGTGGCGCCCCCTGCGGCGCCCCCTGCTGGCCATGTGTCCGAGGTGCCCGCCGAGGCGCCCCCTGCTGGCCGCATGAAGGTGGCGCCCGCCGAGGCGCCCCCTGCTGGCCGCACGCCCGAGGTGCCCGCCGAGGCGCCCCATTGCTGGCCACGTGTTGGAGGCGCCCGCCGAGGCACCCCCTGCTGGCCACACGACCAAGGTGCCTGCTGCAGCATCCCGCAGGGTTCCTGAGCCACAGCCCTGTCTGGAGGATGGCAGCAGGTTTCCTCCTGCAGGAACGGTACTGGCGGGTGGTTGGCGAACCACATAAAAGACTCCCTGGAGGCAGCTCTGCTCCTGGAGCAACTCCGCAGGGAGTTTGCCAAGGCAGCCCCTGATTCCCCACTCCAACAGCTAGCCCGGGTGGAAGAAACCCTGAGGCAGCTGCTCCGTCTGCGGCCTGCTGCCGCCGCTCCTCCTGCAGCGCCCCCTGATGGCTGCACGTTCGCTCTGCCCGCGGCACCGCCTGAGGTCGCCGCTCTGCTCGTCCAGTCCGGCTCTTCCGTCCAGCCCGGCTCTCCTGTCCAGCCCGGCTCTTCTGAACTGCCCGTCCAGCCTGCGGCCACGCCCGCGGCTCCGACAACCTCACCTGAGGCCCTGCCTCTAATTCCCCCAGCCATGATCACTGTCCCCGAGGAGGTCCCAAACTGTTTGACTGCCGCTCCTTCCTCCGGGGAGGAGGAAGGACTTGAATGGGATCCCTCGGGGATTGCCCTATGGACCTCCCTTGTGACTCCCTCGCCCTTGCCCCGGCAAGGTCGACATCCCCCAGGACCCCGCCTATCTGTGTCCCGCAAGGGGAGGGGACATAGACGTCGGGCCGAGGTCCCGGCCGCCCTGCCCCCTGGCTCACCCTCGCTCGCTTTGGCTGGGGCTCGGGGCCCACCTGTGGTTCCTCCTGCTCCGGCCCGGCGGTCGCCTGCGGGTCCCCCTCCGTGGCCTCGTCCCCCGGCCTCGGTCCCGCCTCCGACTCCGCGTCGGTCGCCTGCGGGTCCCCCTGCGCCGGCGTGTCGGCGGACGGCGCCTTCGCCCGCTGTGGCGGCGCCTTCGCTGGCTGCTGCTTCCCCCTCCTCCTTCCCTTTGCTGTTGGCCCCTCTGACTCCCTCCTTGTCTCCTCCATCTGTCCCTCGCCCTGTCTCCTTGTTCCCTTCGTGGTCCCCACCTGCTCCCTCCTTCCTGTCGCCTGCGGCCCCTCCGGCCGCCGCCCGCCTGGGCTCCCTCGGGCTCCCCTTTGTCCCCCTTCCGTGCCTGTCTGGTCTCCTCTGTCTGCTCCTCCTTTCTTCGTCCCACCTGTTTCTCCTCCTCGTCCCTGTGTTCCTCCTCCATGCACTCCTGGCCCCTTCGTGTCGCCTGTGGGTGCTTCCTCCGTGTCTCCCTTCTCTGTCTGTCTGTCCGCGTTTCCGGTCTTGTGTGGGGTTTTGTCGTGGGTCTTGCCCCTGTGCCTGTTCTGTGTCTCGATCTTGTTCCCTCTTCCTCATTGATGTCTTGCTTTTGTTTTTCAGTTCCTGCCCTTCGTCTCGTCCATCGCTTCCCCTCGGGCGCGCCCGGTGTGCGCGCCTTTGGGGGGGGTTATGTCACGTTCAGCTCCGAACGCTCCTCGTGTGTGCCACGCCCCCTCATTACCTCCTGTCAAACCCTGATTGTTCTCACCTGTTGCCTGTTACGTTTGTGTCTAGTCTTGTGTATTTAGTCCTAGTCTGAGTCAGTCTCCCTAGATTTGTCATTGTGATGTAATGTTGCGTTTGATGTTCAGTCTCCGTTTCCCTGCCTGTTCGTTTAATAAACCCCCGTTTGTCCTGATCCACGGCTCCGCTTGCCTGCTTGACCGTCAGCTCGCTAGCCCGAATGTGACACACACACACACACACACACACACATACATATTTCTTATCAGTCTTTCAATGACCCGTGGCATTACTAAGAACAAATGAACAAAAAGAAAAAAAATGGTAATGTTTTTGATTAACTGCATCTTCATAATGCCTTTTTAATGCTTTCTTTTAATGCATTCAGAGCAACTAAATAATGCTTTCATAATGCATTGATAGAACATTCATAAGCAGCATTTCAATATACCATAACATCCTAACATACTTTAACTGCTTTAATATGCATTAATATCAAACATGTGGGGGATTTCCTTAGTAAATTTGCAGTTATTTAATTATGCTCATTTAGTTCACTCATCTATATTTCTTATTTTTATATTTCTTTCTGTCCTTGCTACTTGCTCATCATGTTCTTTGCCTCTCATAGAACTTACTCTCACCAAGGCCGTCTGACCCCCGGCTCCAGGAGTCTGTATGAAGGCCAGAGATAAAGGGCCGGTGTCCCTCAGGGGGGGCAGAGACAGACACAGACAGACACTGAACCGGCTGTGTGTAAAATTTTTCTGTAACATCTTCATTCTGTTAAGCTTCATTAAGCTTAAGGAACCTGCCTCATCATTCAACTAAAAGAACCTGAGGTTTCACTGAAGAAATCTATCACATGTTATAATAATAAATATTATAGTTGTATATTTGGTACTAACAAGCAGGAAAACTCCTAGCTTTCCCTGATATTACAGTAGTTGGAAAAGAACAGTGTTTTTCTTGGGTGGCAGGTTTACTTATAGCCAAAATGAACATTGTGGTTTATTAAGCCATGTCAACTTAAACTAAAGCAGCCTTGAATTAGCTAATTAGACAGGTGTACAGAGCTGTGGGTCAATGTATACCTAAATGAACTGTTTGTGAAGAAGGAAGGTTGTGAGATGCTCAGAAAGAAATACTTTGTTTTAGTGGTCAAGACGCTTGTTGTACTGGACCAACAACTCTGATCCCACGTGTATATTGCATTTAGTAGGCGGAGTCAAAAAAATGGGAGGGTCTGCTGTGAATCTGTGGGTGGAGAACTGTGACCTATGAGGGGCCTGATGAAATACCTGAAGGAAACCCACACAACACAGAGGAAAGCTATAGTTCCCAAACCCCGTGACACCACTGGGCGTAATCTTTATAGCTCAAAAACATTGCTTTTTACAGTGTTTGGGTCCATGTAAAAGGGGATCGTTTGCAACAGCTAAATCATTGGTCAGTTACGTTTTTGAGATTTCTTCCGAAAGAGTTGGATGTTCCACAAATGTATCACTTTCGGTGAACTGAGGACAAATGTAAAGTATTTGTCATGAAAGACAGAATAATTATTTTCATAAAAAGCACAAAAAGTCATAGTAAGATATCTGTTCAACAGTACACAGCAGGAATGTAAAATCTTTATGAAACAGGGATCATTTACATATTTCAGTGGGATATCAAATAATGTCCTGTGCATCAGAATACAAAACCTAGACCTCAGCAGAGAGATGGATAATGCCGCTTCTTTCAAAAAGATTTATGACCTAAAGGTCAAAAGGTTACAGGTCAAGAGTTCACTGGGGGGGCGGGGTTGGGGTGGAACCAGGTGACGTCACAACTAGTGACATTGTTAATTATTTGCATATGTTGGGAGAGGGTTGGTTTTTAAAAATTATTTATTTTTATATTTTTTAATTATTATTATTTATTTATTATTATTATTTTTTATTATTATTTTTATTATTATTATTTATTTATGTATTTAAATTTTTATTATTTATTTATTTATTTATTTTATTTTGACTAGTTTGGAGAGTGAAATGAAGTTTCAGTGAATTGTGTGCTTATGACTTTACAGCCTTTCTGTAAGGCTGTCACCCACTAAGCTACCTGATTCAAGACAATTTGCATGTTTGCATGCATGCATGTTTGAATTAAGAAATCGAGACTTCCGTTAAAGGACGGGAAAACTACAATTCCCAGAATGCACATCTCACCTCAAAGGTACTTGAGATGTGTTGAATCGTTGATACAGTGCAACGCGGAAGAAATGAAACCTAGTAAAGCTGTCATCGTTCCCGGCAACGGAGCTGGAAGCGTAGAGCACTGTAACTGGTATGGATGGGCCAAAAAACAGATAGATAAGGTAACCCAAAAAGTATACACTCAATATATAAAATATCAATATAGCAGAATTAATGTTTGTAATTAGCCAGTTGCAATTCACCCTGCTTTAGGGCAGCAACATTTATTTGAATACAAAGTAAGTCCGTTTATAGTTCATATTTGATAAATTTACCACAGCATTAATAAATGTATTACTATGCATTGTAGATTGCAGGTATGAGCTGTCTGCTCAGAAACATGCCAGACCCTGGTAAGTTGCCGTTATTCGCACTGTGGACCTTGCCTGACCTCAGGGATCTCACGTGAAGGTGCTTAGACCGTGTGTTTCACTGTATTCTGCAGTGACAGCCAGAGAGAGCATCTGGCTGCCGTTTATGGAGAAAGAGCTGCAATGCGATGAAAAGACAATAATCATTGGCCACAGTTCAGGGGCTGCAGCTGCGATGAGGTACAGGCTGGTTCACAGACACACACATACAGGCAGCGTTAGGCTATCGAAGTCTCATGCTAATTCATAAGCCTCAAAAGGAGAAACAAGTGATTTTTTAAGAACTTTCAAAACATGACCCACTACAAGTAAATAGCAAACTATTTCAATTTTAAATGTCTATGAAATAATGGGTATCTAGTTTCATGGACGAATATGGTCATTAAATTTGTTTATTTCCCCGTTTGAGAAGAGAATTATATTGCTGCAAGACCGTTTAATGGTTGTGTATATGAGGTACACATATATGAACGTTTTTGTTCCAGGTATGCAGAAGTGCACAAGGTGTACGCGATTGTGCTGGTAGGCGCTTATACCTCCGACCTGGGTGATGAAAATGAAAAAGAGAGTGGTGAGTTGGCTTAACTTGTACACATCCAATCAGGATGAAAGTAGTTTTCAATTAACAATCAGTCGTCTTTCCTTTGAGTGGTACTCAAGCGAACACCTCCAGACTGAAGGTGACCCAGAATGCACTACCTATGATGGAGTCCAATAGGGCGCAAGTCATCATTAGGGTGGCTGCAGGGTGTTTTGCTTGTGTCCATCCTTGACACCACTGCTTCCCATTTAGGGTATTTCAGTCGGCCGTGGCAGTGGGACAGGATCCGGAGTAACTGTGGGCACATCGTTCAGTTTGGCTCCATGGATGACCCCTTCCTGCCATGGAGTGAGCAGCAGCAGGTGACTGAGAGTCTGCAGGCGCAGCTGTACGAGTACACGGACCGTGGGCACTTCCAGAACACGCAGTTCCCGGAGCTGGTCCGTGTCGTGCGGGAGATGGCGGAGAGCGGCTGAGTGGCAGCTGTCTGCATGATACATTCCCGCTGTCTGGGTGTCACTGGCAGTACAGTGAGACAGGTCATCATGAATGTGAATAAAACCATTGCAGGATTCTGGCTTCCTCTGGCATTTCCAAAATCTGCTTTTGTTTCCTCTGAAATGGCACCTGCAGATGGTACCCCAGCCGGCTTTCAGCCCCCTTTCATATGATCCAGGAAAAAAAGTAGACAGGGTAGCCCTTCTGTCTCAGAGAATCATGGGAGTACGTAGGGTTTGCATTTCAGCATGGATTTTCACCCCCGCTAACCCCCCAGTTTCCCGAAATAGGCTCCCAACCTCTGCAACCCTCTTGGAATGAATACCATCCATTTTTAATATTTTACAACAGAAAACCAAAAACTTTATTTGGCTGCTTTGTACACAGTGTTTGGTGTAATATTTACAATATTGAACAAATACTCTTGATGTTTTACTGACACCAGTTCAATCTGAAACTGAAACTGATCACCGTCATGTAAAAATAATAACAAAGGATGATATGGAGAAAGTGATTTTTCCTCCCACCATCTTCCATAGTTTTAAAGCTTTCCATAAGAAAGACTATAAATAATTAAAAAAAGAAAAAGAAAAGAAAAAAAAAATCTCCAAAGTCACTGGCTCCATTACGAAAACACGTCAAGCTTTCCATCCCAGAGCGGATCCATCCCTGAAGTGCAGCAGATCTTAGCTAGAAGTCCAGCCACTCGGTCATGTAGATGCAATTAGACGGTGAGATTTCACCTCCCTCGTGGCAGTCAGCAAACACCTGGGACACGCAGACACCGCAACGTTAGCCAATCAATGCTTTGTTTTCAGGATTCTTACTGATTATGAAAAAACACAAAGAAGCATTTACCTGTTAAATTATAGGGGACATTTGACAACAACAGAGGTTCATGACAACTGATTTCAGTACAACACTGAACATACAATGACTACTTGAAATAAAGTTTTAAAAAAAAAAAAAATCAAATGTGCATTTCTCCAGAAGCATGCAAACTAATCCCTCCCTAACTCAGCTGACCACATATAAACCACTTTTAAGTGGCAGCTGGGATTCAATAGCCAACCATTTGTAAGACATCTATACCCAGCACTGCTCTCATTCCGTTCCTGAAGTGGTGCCCCAACATTTGAATGCCAAGCAGAATGGTCTTCCTGTGTATCAATTTAACCAGCAGAAGCAGCATGTATGAAGTGCAGGGCTACAGCAACTCATCATTAACATGGACAATAATTGCCAATAAAAATATTTCACAACAAACTTCAACTGTCATCAATTAGTTGTATTACAGCTATGTAAACTGTATAATGATAATGACATCACTACCTAGCAATGTTAACTCGGTCATACTTCACTTTCCCGCATGCTGTTACATGCCGGACATAGAGGTGCATATGTGTCCATATTACATTTGCCCGTGGATACAGACGGTCGCGGTTGGCACATGCCTACAGCAATAATGCTCCACCAGACCAGCAGAGGACATTCGTTGCAGCAAACACAAGCAGTATAGTGAAATGGGTAAACTTTTCATGAACAGTTTTTAAAATTGCTACTAGGCTTGGGGGTATCATGGTAATACAGTGTTATAGAGTAGGATCCCCACCTGCTCAGCAAACTTTATCGCAAAGATTTCATTATGCCAGAACAGTGTTTTTGAAAGTACTATCATTTTTGCTACAACACTGACTTAAAATACACTTCTTGATGTTTTGTAAAATAAAACATATTTGTTTAAACCCTGTATTTTGGCCCAGCTAATTGATTAGTTGAACGCCTGATCAACTTAATTAGTCGACAAAAGATTTTTTTTTTGCGGCCCTAGTGAAGTGCATTATTGTCAGGGAGGGAACACGGGAATGACAGCTTACGGGACAAAGGCCACAGGGTGTTTTCACCAGGCCTGTTGCCTGAATGATGCAGTTGACTCCTCTGTAGAGCTTAATCTGGCCATCCACGCTGCCCACTGTCCCTTCCTTGGCCACAATGATGGTCATTTCCACCTTCCCGTCATAGATCAGTGTGTTCAGGATGGTCTCTATGTCCTCCATGGACAGCTCCACCTGTGACAACCAAGCCACACCAAATGAATGCATACATGCACTAATCACATTAACCTAGAAATATTACACTATGACACTACTGCTGCAAACATGTTGATACTTACTAAAATAAATTCATTCAAAAATTGCTTATGTGGGGGAGCAGGTGACCTTAGTTATAGAGCATGCTAGTGACAGTTCAACCACACTGCCAAATATCACAATTTAAGTTCGTACCTGGATAAAATATTCTGCCCTACATAACAATCACTAACTGGAAAATTCCTGAAAAACATGCAGGAAAGGCTGCATTTCACAGATAACAGGACAACTTTAAACCTCGCTGTTTTCTTACAGGCCGTAACAAGGTGTTTCCGTCGTTTCCCAATCTGGTCCTCGAAGACCCGCTGACAGTCTACATTTTTTCTTTCCTCCAGGCTTGGAGCAAAAATGTGGACTGTCTGACAGGGAGCTGGGAGGGAGCACAGACGTGGACTGTCTGGCAGGGAGCTGGGAGGGAGCACAGACGTGGACTGTCTGGCAGGGAGCTGGGAGGGGGCACAGACGTGGACTGTCTGGCAGGGAGCTGGGAGGGGGCACAGACGTGGACTGTCTGGCAGGGAGCTGGGAGGGGGCACAGACGTAGACCGTCTGGCAGGGAGCTGGGAGGGGGCACAGACGTAGACTGTCTGGCAGGGAGCTGGGAGGGGGCACAGACGTGGACTGTGCGTGGATCCCTGAGAACCGGGTTGGGAAACATTGCTTTCAACAAATAAGGTTTTCATGGAGAGAGGGGCTATGGGATGTACAGGGTGGAGCGGACCATACCTTACTGATGCCCAGCTCGCAGATGTACTTCCACACCTCGTGGGATGTGGCAAAGGAGCTGTTCCTCTGCACCACAGGGCTCTGCTTGCTGTCCCGCGCTGCCTCCGCCTGGCAATTGGGGGGATTTACAGTTATGAGTGTCCAGTCCAGATCAGGAGAAGCTCTTGGTGCAGCCTCCTTATTCATGCATGCTGTTGTCTTAACTCGCATGGGGCAACTACATCAATAAACATGATTAAGAAACTGTTCTAATTAAAAATATCGTATCGCTGGTCTATTACTCAAATATAGGCACACTGTGTAAGTGAATGAATATAATGACAACTAATATCCAAGTACTTTGGCTGAACTCGGTATTTATAAACAAATGATACTGTGGTTGAAATGTAAATTATTTTTGAACGTCCTGTCATTACTGAGTTGAATATGGCAACCTCATGTATGATAATTATTACCATTGGATAATGTTTTATTAGAGAAAAAAATTGTAAAAAAAAATATATGCATACACAGACATTGTTGCTAATGTATATGCACAATATTTTGTACCACACACACACACACACACACACACACACACACACACACACACACACACACACACACACACACACATTACAGACAGGAACTCACTACAATAACTACCTTGCTCTGCAAAAATTTGAAGCACTGCTGGTTCAAGACCTCCACAAACTCAGATTCAAAATCCTGGTCACTGTACCAGGCTCCGCCAGTAACTGAGCGGTCCGGCTGAAGGTTATACAGCATGTACACCTTTTTCTTAGAAGCCTGGAAAAAGAGATTCCATAACTCTGATCATCACAAATATGCAGAAGTATTTGGAGATTTAAATTTAATTTCAAAATTAGCTGAGTATATGCGTATAAAGCTGACGCAGTGCGTGCCAAAGTAAAAAATAGCCTCGACTGCCACCTAATGGCCAAATAATGCAACTTCATGCATACAAAAAACGTCATATCTTACAGCCACAGATTTCACAGCTTTGATAAGCTTCTTACTCTCCAGGTTCTTCAGGATTTTGTTAATCTCTGTCAGAGGGAGGTTACTTTTATAGCGGATATCTCTGCTCCAGATTCCTGTAGAGAAGGCAAGAGAAAAAAACCCAAAATGTGATCATTTTAAACATAGTATAGGCATCCAAGGAAAAAGTTTCAATTATAATATAAGCATTAGCTTATACTAATCGTTGATGCCTTACCTTTGTTTCCTGCATCCTCTATGATTTGATAAACTAACTTCTCTTGGTTGTCAGATCCCTTCATTTTACTTGAAAGAAAACATCAAGTAGCCATTATTTATATGCAAGTAAGGGTTTGTACAACATGCGTAAAAGCAAGTGGATAGTTTACATCCATAAAGCAAAAAATACACCAAGGTTTTGTCACAATAAACCAGTTCAGTACTCTGTGACTGTGAATCTTTATGCTCAACTAGCTGGTTCAAATTAAATCTTTGTCTGGATTTTTACTTTCTGGACCTGAACTATCCACCTCTGTGTAAAAGACTAAAAAGACAATACAGCCCTCCCCCATTATCTATAAAAATATATCAATTTTAAGATAACTCCATTCTAATTCACACAACAAATGGCATTTGTATCAACATTAAGATGACATGTTTTGGGGTGCTTATGTCAATTAGGGGACCAAGCAGGAGATCAATGTTTTATATAAAAGTAGTACACATACTGACTTGTTACTCCTAGCCCCTACTTTTATTTATTTTAAAAAATAAGATAAAAAGTTACAACCCATAACACTCTGAATAATTATTCTTGCTACCTGGGGTATAGTAAAGGTGTCATATCTCACAGGGAATTCAATAAAAAAACAGAAATAATTTCTGAGCCCTGGAAGGTATGTTTAATCAACCTGCCAAATTTAATCAAAATCAACAATGGTGATGCAAACACTGTTTTGGATTTTTTTTTTTAAATGGCTCACGTATTTAAAACATTCATATCCAATTGCAGCAAGCATAACATCATAGCTGAGACTGTACCTTGCTGTCTGAGCATCTTTTAACCTATACAGAAGTCCATTGCTGTTCCTAAGCAGGTCCAGCTGACCCTGTTTTGAAAAATTAAATAGTGCTTGCGGTAAAAAAAGAGATGCAGACACCAGGAAATAATCATTTCAATAGAAACACTGAACAGGGCATGTTGAACACCGATTGCATCAGCGTTAACTTCTCTTTCACTCAACAGCCGTAAGGGGCTATGCAGAATGACTGCGCCTTACCACAGAGAGCAGTCTGTTGATGGCCATGGCCCTCTGCTGAGCCTCTACGTGAGGCATGTCATTCTGTATGACCTGGTCGGTTATTCCATGAGGAAACTGGCTGCAAAGCTCCTTTATCCTTTGAAACGTGGACATAAAACAGGCACGTCACAAACTTTACTAGACGCTGGGTCTAGCATCGCTCATGGTGTGACAGTACTGTAGAATTTGATGTTATCGGTCAATTGAATTGTTCTTACAACTATGTAGCTATAATTTAAAGCCGTGGATATAGCTTTATAAAGGAACCAGAACATAAGTTAAACCACCTGCATTCAGCTGCAAACGTTACATAGCCATCATTATTAAGATTCATATTAAGACATGAGAGGACAGCGTGGTTCCGACAAGTTACACCCCAGTTTGACGGGGAGAGAGGCTGGCAATTACAATGGGACAAAGTTACCTGTTTTCGATGTCCACAGGATCTGTAGATTCTTGTTTTACTTTAACTTCGGCCATTTTTAAAATGAAAAAAAAAAAAACTATTGAATATTATCTTGCTGTAAAGCTATTAACAACACACATGCACCTCGATCCCTACATCACCAATCGAGTCACATAACATCACTGTTAACTGGGGTCTTTCGCTGCTGAGTTACGTCATGCGTTTTAGTAGACTAGTCAAAGCCTGATTGAAATTTCACAGATGCAATATTTTTATTTACAGTATATCGAAATGTCTATTTTATTTGAAAAATATTTTAACAAATAAATAAGTTAACTTATGATCGCAATTTTCTAACAGTTTAGCTGATGTTCTGCATATTTCCCCCCAAAACAAATGCTATTTATTTTGAGCTATCTAATAAATGTATTATTTTGACATTTTGAACCGATTTTTAACCAATTTTGACACATTTGTATTCATGCAATATGAAACTATATGGAAATAATGAAAGTATGAAATTATACAATTCAATAATAAGAGAGGTCTGCATGAACAAATAAAGATCTTCCTATAAGAATAGCTTAAGTTATTACAGTGTAACTAGTTGTTACAAATCTAAGTTTAAAATGGAAAGGTAAATTTAATAATTAAATACATGTTACTAAAGTGTTTTGCTTGCACTTTGCAGTGGTCGTTAAGGCATGAGATTTGACCAATAAGAACGCACGATGCTGTAGTGGGCGTGGAAACCGCCGCGTCGCTGGATACGCGTTCAGGTCGCAGCAACTCAAATGAGAGCATCTGCTACTTTTTATGTCGCGTAAAGTATGGACTTATCAACTATTAATGTTTGAAAAGAAGACAATATTGATATTTTTTTGAATGTGAACACCGGTGCATTGCAGATTAACGCTTTGGAGGCCAGGTAAGTATGCCGGCTTTTCAGAATTTACGAGACATACTGATGTCTTGATATAAAAAATAACAGGGTCGCATCATGCTGCTCAAATGAAAGCCGTGCTGTGAGCAGAATGCATGTACGAAATAATATAACGGGCAGTTTCAAGCACAGATAAGCAGGGGAGCTCCGTAATACAAAAGTAATATACTGCAGATGGCTTGTCTTTGAATAAAAAAAAAAACAATATGTCAGGCGTAAGTCTCATTCGTCTACCTGTCACTGTACTGTCATGATAAACATAGGACTGGAAACACAATTTATTAAAATTGCATTGATAATATTCATAAAGGCTATTGTAATTACATAATTTGATTCCCCTGATGGATTGTTAAAATATGTTTATATGTTTTTATGCGGTTATAATCAGATTCCCGTTAGATCATGACTGCAGGCTCGATCGTGGCTCCACAAATCATCCCTATCAGAGCACCACTTCCTGGGATAGTCAAGCACCAAATAGACACTGCTACACCTGTGGAGATCAAGTCAGGTAAGGAGCCAGTACACTGATAGATTATATGGTAGGGTGACCAGATAATCCATGTCAGGGAGGACACTCTGAGCTAGGACAGGAATTGTAAATTACCATTTCAATTAAACGGACCTGGATTTCACTTGAGCACTGAGTTCTTGCTGTGTGCTGATTGGTCAGTCTCCTATAATCATGCATGTGTCACTAATGTTAATGTGAAACAGCTGGATGAGTCTTTCAGTCAAGGAAATAAACCAGTCAAAGCACAAGAAGAGCTGAACTAATTAGCCGAGCACAGGAGCCTTTCAATTTGAAAGTAGTTTGTAAAACCTGAAGTAGCTCAAAGTGTCCTCCCTGACATGGATTATCTGGTCACCCTATTATATGGACATAGCAAAGTATTGGGACACCTGGCCATTACACCCACAGGAACTTTTATGACATCACATTCTAAATCAATAGGCATCAATATGGAATCCTCTCCCTTTACAACTATAACAGCTGCCACTCTTCTGGGATGGCTTTCCACAAGATTTTGGAGCGTGTCTGTGGGAATTTTTGCCCATTAATCCAGAAGAGCATTTGTGAGGTCAGGCACTAATGATGGACACGATGGCTGGCTTTGCAATCTCCATTCTAGCTCATACCAAAATGTTTGATGGGGATGAGGTCAGGGCTCTGTATGGGCCAGTGAAGTTCTTCCTCACTAAATTCACCTGATCCTGTCTTGGACCTTACTTTGTGCAATGGGGCACAGTCATGCTGGAACAGAAAAGGGCCTTCCCCAAACTGTTCCCACAAAGTTGGAAGCTAGACTTGTCCAAAATGTCTTGGTATGCTGAAGCATTAAGAGTTCCCTTAACTGGTACTAAGGGGCTTAGCCCAACCCCTGAAAAACAACCCCATACCATTTTCCCTCCTCCACCAACCTTTACAGTAGGCAAAATGCAGTCAGGCAGGTAACGTTCTCCTGGCATCCGCCAAACCCAGACTGAAGCGTGATTTGTCACTCCAAAGAACATATTTCCACTACTCCAGAGTCCAGTCGTGCCATGCTTTACATCACTCCATCCAATCCTTGACATTGCGCTCGGTGATATGAGGCTGCTGGGTCATGGAAGCCCATTCTATGAATCCCGGAGCACAGTTCTTATGCTGGAGTTAATGCCAGAGGAAATTTGGAACTCTGCAGTTATTGAGTCAACAGAGTGTTGGCGACTTTTTACACACTATGCACCTCAGCACTCAGTGACCCCGCTGTGTTACTGTACGTGGCCTAACACTTCGTGGCTGAATTTCTGTTGTTCCTAAATACTTCCACTGTAATAATACCACTTAAAGTTTACCATGAAATATCTGGCAGGGAAGAAATTTCACAAACTGTCTTATCGCAAAGGTGGCACGCTTTAATTCACTGAGCTCTTCAGAACAGGCCATTTTGTAAACCAGACTGCATGGCTAGGTGCATGATATAATTAAAAAGGCATTATCTCGGAGACAAGTCCTGCTGTCATTATCCGTGCTTCCCCAGATACCCCAGATGTCACTATTTATTATACGCTGGATGGCAGTAAGCCAGAGATTCCCAGGAGATCTGGCCTGAGGGACAGCGGCACGCTACAGTACAAGGAACCCATATGTTTACCTAAAGGAAAAGTGTATGTGAAAGCGTTAGCCAGCACAGGGTAAGTGGGAATATGAGAGAGACATTTAATATTTTATACAGTATTTATATTTTATATAAACAGCAAACTGAACACTTTTATGATAATTGTTTTTTTTTTCTTTTTTGACGAAACCTTCAAAAACCTGAATACAATTATATGTTTTAAGAAACACACAAAGAGGTCTGTGAATGCTGTTTACCTTTTTTACTTAACGATTTGTTCCAGTGATGGCAGGCAGAGTGCTGTGGTGACCAAAGTGTTTCTGGTGGACCACATTCCCTCTGATGATCCTCTCAGCACTGAGGGAAAGCCTGAGAGGGAGCAGGTGAGAGCAGCCAGTAAACTGTTTCTTATTCATTGTCCAGTTTATATGTGACATGTATGAAGTTACATACTTCTGCAGGAGATGCGTGAGGGAGGTGACTCCTTTGCAAAATGGACAAGAGGACTGGAAAATATGTGGGAAGGCAGCTCAAAGGAGCAGCCAGGTATTTCCTTCACTTTGAGACTCTAAACCAGTGTTTCCCTACCCGGTCCTTGGGGACCCACAGACAGTCCACATTTTTGCTCCCTCCCAGCTCCCGACCAGGTGCAAAAATGTGGACTGTCTGGTAGGGAGCTCAGAGGGAGCAAAAACACAGACTGACTGTGGGTCCCTGAGGACCGGATTGGGAAACACTGCTCTGAAGACTGCAGCATTAATGCTGTAGTTCTGCATTTATCTAATGCAGCTACTAGTGCTGCCCTCAGGCTGGCTCTTCACTGCCTCAGCAGTGACCACCCGAGGAAGCCAATCCCTTAAGACTTCTGCTAGCCCTCGCCCCCGCAAGCCCCCCTCCTCCAAACAGCTGGCCAGCATCCTGCCAAGTCACACGCATTCCCAGGTACATTTCAGCAGCTCGTTTACCGAGATGAAATAAGGCAGTCCAGTAGAATAATAATAAAAACATAAGTCATCGTATTTATTACATGGACTGTTTTCCTAGTTTATGGATTTTAATAGAATAAAGATGGAGTGTATTGTCTTTCCCAAATTTTCAGTATAAGGACGTGGGATGGGGAGCCCTTTCACTAAGAAGCTTAACAAAGACTCAGCTCTCCAGAATCCAGAGAGAGACGGACTTCCTGCGGTGAGCAATTCATATGCAACATTGCTGCTCTTGCTTGTTTGAAACACAGTCAATTTTCGAGATCTGAGACAGTTGAACCACAGCAAAGCTGGATTCAGATTACTGTAACGTTTACATAAATACCTGTATCACCTTTTTTCCGCTTTAGATGTGCCCAGTGCCTTTCCCCCCGCCCCTCCGACCCGTTTGCCCGCTTCTGCCTTCAGTGTGGTGCCCCCGTGCCCCCCATCCCAGGACAACGTCTGCCCCCCACAGAGGGTGCCCAGGTATCTCAGTGCAGGATTCCAGAAATCCCCAAACGAACCTGAATTTGGAGCTTGTCAGTGGGTTGCTGAAAGCCTTGAGCGTGACCCACACAGAGCTCTCTACTCTGCCCCCTAGATGGGCCTCTGTGTCTCCTGCAAGACCATGGTGCCCCTGAATGCCGTAACCTGTGTGGTCTGTGAAGCGCCCTTGGAGCAGCAGCGCCAGCCACAGGCCGCCATCAGACTAAGTGTAAGATGCCTCCCAAGGTCGTATTTATGCAGCCCCAAGGTTGTATTTATGCAGCCCCAAGGTCGTATTTATGCAGCCCCAAGGTAGTATTTATGCAGCCCCAAGGTTGCACAGAGACATGGCTGGGACAATATCCAGCTACCATTATCCACTCTCACATGCTCTTGGGCCTCCCTCGTGTCTGGACCCCTGAAAGTCTTCTCCTTTCTCCACTCTTATGGACAGCTCCATAGGAGTGGGTAGTTACTGTAGCGAAATATCAAATTGGCCGCTTGACTGTAAATTCTGGGGCTGCTTTTTGTTGTCTGTCCATCCCTGTTTAATCGTGATGCTGTATATTCGATTAAATCATTTATAATCATCACCATGATGAAATCTACATTTCATTTTTTACATTTCTGACTAGAAACCCAGAACACAGTAACTTTTTTGATATAGCTATTTATTTGTATGTGGTTTTC